GGGCGGAGGACTTGTGGAGGAGTCTAAGGGGGGAAGGGGTCCTGGACAGGTCTGTTGTAAGTCAACAACATAGAGTGCGACGAACTTCGGACCGGTGCAGTAGTATGCCCTGTGTAGTCCTTGTAATTAATATAATTTTACTTGCAACATACCCCCGATGCATGTCACACGTTCTCACCCCAAACCCCAACTCCCCAAAGTCTAAAGCCCAAATCTAAACCCTAACCCCCAAACTCTCCCGCCACCCCACTCTCGGTCGTTTTGGGGTAGGCGGGCGCTGGTCGAGCGATCAGCGAGACCCTGCAAGGGAGCCCCAGGCAGGACAACTCCTGGCCCGGCTGGCCGGCCGGGGCTCTGCAGCAAGCCCTGGTACTGGACGCTGGGGCGGGATGTGGCGCGTCTGAACGACAACGGGCTGCAACAGCTTTGCAATGGCACGGGACTTTGCTCTGCTGCTGACAACCTGGTACGCTCACAGCCCAACCTCCCCGGCTCCCTTTCCTAGCGCCGAATCCTAGCTAGTTGCCATGCTTCGCCAAAATGCAGCCTTCACGGAAAACGGCTGTAACAACATTGCCAAGATCCGGCGGCGAAAACACACTCCTTCAGTCGCCGCCTTATACTTGTGCGAACAAACATATAAAGTTGTATGCCCTGAGAGTTGCAAGTGGTTGGCCTTGGGATGGGTAAGCCTGCGGGCCGACGCGCACCCACGAAAGCGCGCTTTCGTTTGGCACACCTCTAAACCCTAAACTCTAAACACTAAACCCTGAAGTTCTAAAATCTGAACCCTTGACCCTAAGCTTCTAAAGCCAACAGGTGGGCTTTCCACCACGGTGCCGAGGCTCGGTCCTCGACACTTCGAGTTTTCGAGTTTGCCTGCGCCAGTGATGTTCAGCTAGGACCAGAAGTGCTTTACGGTTCTGAGATTTAGGGGTTTAAGATTGAGGGGTTTAGGGGTGTGCGGGATCAAAGGTTCAGGGGTTCGGGGATTCAGGGCGTTCAGGGTTTAGGTTGAATTACGGTGGTGCCGGTAAAATGCGCACATGAAGCTGCAAGCAAAGACTCAAATTACAGAGCGTTCTGCTCAGGCTTTTCAACTCAAGTCTCGGATTTACGGTCCACGTGTTTTAGGGGCATCCACCCCTTCACCTTAAGCCGCAAGCCCTACAACCAAATGGTCAGAGCCGAAGCTCCCCCTGCCCCCACCCTCAACCCTAAGCTTCGAACCCCAAAACCCACACCATCAGCATTTCTATCAGCAATGGCAATGGTAGTTGTACTAGTGCTTCAGATTCATATTGGTAATCGAATTGGTGCACTTCGTGGAGGTCGCTGCGAAGACTTGATCAAGAACCTTTGCCAGAAAGATCCTTCTGAGAGGTTGCCGATGAGGCCTGGGATTGAAAGATGGCCCTAAACCCTAGACCCTAAACCCAAAGAGTCCGAGTTGCTAAACCAGCCTGGGGTTGAGTCTCGTTTACACAAACAGGGCGTGAAGGTCGCTTCAGTAAAACTATATCATCCCCGTTTTGGCTGTTTAAAAACATGTTTTTTGCTAAATTCAAACAGCTTCAGTAAACGATAACATCGACAGTAAGAAGAACGGTTTTAGTAGTGGTACTGATGATGATAAAAAAATCCTGCGCTACCTTAAGGACTGACCCTAAAGCTGTGGGAATTGTAGTATCTTATTCCTTACTATGGGTAGTGCAGGATGTATATCATCAACCGTAGTGATCAACCCTGCTGCTAAACAAGGTTTAGGGGGCTTTAGGTTTAGGGGTTTAGTTTAGGGGTTTAGGGTTCCGGTTTAGGGTGCAAATCCTGGCGTCCAGCCAGCGCCCGAGCACAAGCTTGATGTCTAAACCGTCTGCTCACAATAGCCCAGAGGCTCCAAAGCCCCTCAATTAAGGAATGTGCCTTAAGTCATACATAGTAGGAATATGCTTGAAATCATAGTAGGGATCTTGTAATAATTTGTGGTATATTCCCTAATTGCGGGGGTTTTGGAGTCTCCAGGTGCTACGATTCATGGGGCACATAGTGCATCAGAATTGCAGCACTAGCAGCAGAAGCAAAACTGCGCTTAACGGCAATCTCAATGTTGAGTCATCACATAGCCATGTAACATGCAACTACCAAAAGGACCCTGAACCAGGCTAATACATAATGGTAAGCAAACGATTGGCACAACTACAAGTGTGATGGTAGTAATCATTGCCATCACCATCTTTATTATGTCCTCTCACACCCCGGTTATCATCATAATCACAGTGATGACAGCCAGCATCAACAACATCATCTAGTTCTTCCCAGGTCCGAATCAGCATCGTTGTCGTCACCATTGTCATCATGCGCAACGTCGTCGTAGTCGTATTCGCTGTACTGATAGCCACAGCATTGCAAAGCATCCTGATACCCCGAGCGGAGACAGTAAGCTTCATGCAATGAAGTAAGAAGTTTTCGATTCACGAGCAAGCTTATCGCAAGAAGGTACTGGTCCAAATTGCTACAATCAGACTTAGGTCAGATCCAAGATTGAGCCAGTATGTCGCAGCGAGTCGAAGGTAGCCATCTCTTTTTCAGGAGCGGTGGCATCGAGAACATCAAGAAGCACATCTGGTATGAGGCCCGTCTGTCATTGGTCCCTGCACGAGCCGCCCACCCCACATCCACGGCCAACGCCGCTGTGCAACAATCACCACTGCAACAACATGAGCCGACAGCAAAGCCCACAAGAGAAAACCACCTGTACGTACTGCTGCTGCTGTTGCTGTGACTGCGACGACGACTTCTCAACTCAGCACCTGCCGCCTCTGTTGCCACAACCGCACGGACTTCTGCTGATGACGATGATGATAACGACAACGGCGATCATGATGCTGATGCTGCTGCCGGTGCTGATGCTGGTGCTGCTGCTGCTACGACCGTGACTCCGGCGATCTACTTACAACGGCTCCCTGGTAGGTGACGGCAGGAGTGTGGACAACGACATCGACGACTACTACCGCTAGCACTAGCACTAGCACTAGGACGACTACTACTGCTGCTGCTGCTGCTGCTACTACTACTACTACTACTACTACTACTCCTACTCCTACTACTACTACTGCTACTACTACTACTACTACTACCACCACTCTACTCCCGACACTTCAAGGCCCTCAATCTCCAAACTTGAGCGTCCCCCCTGCCCCCAAAGCACGATGCCTGCACTTTTTTGGGGTTGAGGTTTTTGGGTTTAGGGTTTCGGGTTCTAGAAATCCCCAAGTCGGTCTGTTTGAAGCCAGGGCTTTGACTGGCAGAGCTTTGAGTCACTGAAGATGGAGACGCCTTACAAGCCGGAGGCGCACAGGGTTTAGGTGTGGCAGTGAAGGGATACTGATATATTGCGCTCGGTTTTATACTTATAGAGGTACACTTTTCTGCTTCTGTTCGTTAGGGTGCAGAATTTGGGGTTCACAATTGAGACTGCTTCAAGGGATCCTTGTTTTGGCTGCCTCGGTCTTGGTGATGTCGAGGTTGCCGGTCATGTGAAGACAACAAAACCCAAACTTGGCCCAACCTGGAAGCTCTGCACCAAACAACGGACACGTTGGCGTATTCAGGGTGTCTCAGGGTGTCTGCAGAGGCCTTGGAGGCTGGAGATATGTGTTTTTTTGCATTGATCTGCAACCTTCCAAACTAAGGAAGTCATGTAGGAGGTTATTTGGAGTTTCGGGTTGGTTCTTCTGAATTAGTCTCTGCTTGTTGTTCCTATGATGAACTTATGAACTTCCTCTTAAGTTTAAGACGGGCGAGTTCCAGCGGACCCTGGTTCCGTTCCGAACAACCCCATGCAGTCTGGCAGATGTTGACCAATACAATGAATGCAGACGAATTCGTTTGCGGCCATGTTTTCCCAAAGCGGGGAGGTTATGCAGTTCCTGCCAAGGTAAAGAGCAAAACCGACATTGCGAACTTCTCGGCGCGCGATGCGGATCGGCCGCCGCAGGCCCGTTTCAGGTAGGGTTGGGTCTGCAAGCTATAGACGGAGAGCAAGCAAACTGCCCCACGAGTTTCAAGATCACTTGGCATGTGGGCAGCTTGACGTGGATAATGAGAGTGGAAAGAATCGCAACGGTAGTTTGACCGAGGGCAACACATAAGGGCAGTGAAGCGGGCAACTTGGAAGGTCGTATCAAAGGTAGTACTGGCCGTGCTCTGTTTGTAGGATCTCTGCAACTGGTCCTGATTCTCCTGCCAAGACCGCTACTTTCTGCCGTGCAGCTGAGAATGTTTCTTGTCACCACCTTTCGCGGAGGCTAAGAACTCAGCAAGTAAGCTTTGGGTACAACCGAAATGCCTGTAGGGCTTCTTGCAACCTTGATTTTTTAGGGATGCCTAAGAACATTGCCTCCTTCGTGGAAGGGAGGAGAAATTGGGGCGGGATGCTGTCCTGAAGTGGGCATAGCCCCAATCAAGCCCAATGCTCGAACAGTTGCTTGTTCGGCCTGGCTTTTCTCGAAACGCTTCCCAAGCATGTCCGGACTGATCTCAGAATATGGACCCCGTTGTTGATACAGTAACTCAGTAGGACCGGGTTTTGGAGGGTCAGAAAGTCCGGTCAGTCCTACAGCCCGCGCCAGGTGAAGTACAAGGCCCTGCCGTATCCGGTCTCTGTTTGGCTTCGGGGTCCACGGGTTTAGGGTTCAAGAACGGTGCTATAAGGTTTCTATAGGGGCACCTATCATAAGGGTACTCGGAGGGGTTTTGCGGTATTAGGGAAGTGTGGCGGGACTCGCCTTTGGTCTTGCTCCGGGATTGGGCTGGGGAGCATTTGGTTGTTTGGATCTTCAAAGTTAGAGACTTCACTCATTTCGGGATAGAATGCTTCAAGGAACTGAAGGGTATGGTTTGGTGCACTGCCGGCTTGGGCTTTCTGCATCCCGTGCAGATCGAAACCGTTGTGGCTTGATGTGCCGGTTTAGATGCAAGTTCGTCAGGGCGAGCCTGCCTGGTCCGGGGTTTTCGGGACGCAAGGATGATGACACCTGCATATAGACAAGCCCGGAGCCCCGTGTATCACAGGACGACGGAAGCGGATGGGATGCCAGTTTTGCCACGTCCGAGTGATGCCGAAGGCACGGCTGTGGCGGAGCATTGGCTCAGGCACACGACTTAGAAGACTCAAGAGCACATTGTCTCCTGTCTTCCCGGTTTGAGCCACGTCGCTTTCAGCCTGCAAAGAATACACACCGATGCTAGTGTAGTCAACGCAGTCATTGCTATCCACTGGCCAGTGGCTCATGCGATCGTCGAAGAAAGGCCGAGCACGACCATGTCGAATCGGCTGGTCTGCAACAGACTTCGGGTTGAGGTCTAGGCTCGCGGGCTTCGGTCTGCAAGTTGAGGCGATGCCTGAATTGGTTTAGGACCTCTACAAGTCGATAGACAAAACCAGAACTTGAACCTAAAGTCGGTACGATGATTTCGGTGCGGTCTCATGGCAATCGCGTCAGATGTCACTCAGATCACTTTTCTTGAGGCTAGCAGCGTTTGTAGCAGTAGCATTAGTTGCCGCTGCCGTCCCCGTAGCAATCCTAGTGGTAGTAGTGGTGGAGTTGGGGTAGTGGTAGTAGTAGTAGTAGTAGTAGTAGTAGCAGCAGCAGCAGCAGCAGCAGGAGTAGTAGTAGTAGTAGTAGTACTAGTACTAGTAGTAGTAGTAGTAGGAGAAGGAGTAGTAG